AACAAGCCCTCCAGAGGATTCGGATACTCACTCAAGTCTGAGAAACACAGATTCTTACACTATTGTTTCCCAAAGCTCAGGATGCTAATGAGACCAGAGAAAATCTGTCTCTTGGCTCTGCAGATGCTCCTCAACTTACTTTGGGGCTACATCCCAATAAACCCATCACAAGTTGAAGATATCCTAAGTTGAAAATGCATTTAGTAAGCTCAAACTACGGAACATCATAGTTTAGCCTACCCTACCTTACACGTGCTCAGAACACATTAGCCTGTGGATGGGCAAAATCGTTGCACACAAAGCCTATTTTCTAATAAAGTGTTGAATATCTCATGTAATTAGTTGACTGCTATCCTGGACGTGAAAAACAGAATGGTTTTATGTGTACTTAAAATATGGTTTATACTGAATGTGTATCACTTTCACAACACTGTAAATTCTCAAAATTCGAAGTCGACCCATGGTCAAGTTGAGGACCATCTGCATTTGCAAAGACCCCTCTGTGAGCCTCAGGAAAGGGTGGATACACCGTTCTCCAGGAAGGAAGAGAAAGGGCAATTCAAAAGCAAAACCAAACCAATAACCTTTTCCTGCCACGCAGGGCACGTGTGCTAAAGCTCTTGTCCTCTGACCTGGAGTCTCTCCCTGACTCCTTTCCAGTGTGGAGAGAGATGTTGGAAAGGCAGGATGTGAGGGGAGAGGCCCTCCCACCACCTAAGGTGGCAGCTCAAGGGCCCCCCAGGCCTGCCTTGTCCCACCCCTGTCCTGAGTGTGGACCACCTCCCGGAGCTGGCCAAGGTTCTGCTCTCAGAAAACACAGCCTCCCACTATTAGCGTTTTTGAGCAAGGCAATTGATATGGTTTGGTTGTGTCCCCATCCAAATCTCAACTTGAATTGTATCTCCCAGAATTCCCACATGTTGTGGGAATGGTCTTGGGGGCCAGTCTTTCCCGTGCTATTCTCATGATAGTGAATACGTTTCATGAGATCTGATGGGTTTATCAGGGGTTTCTGCTTTTGCTTCCTCCTCATTTTCTCTTGCCACCACCATATAAGAAGTGCCTTTCACCTCCTACCATGATTCTGAGGCCTCCCCCGCCATGTGGGACTGTGAGTCCAATTAAACTTCTTTTTCTTCCCAGTCTTGTGTATGTCTTTATCAGCAGCATGAAAATGGACTAATACAGCAATTCTGCTGACTCCCATTATGACCACATCCACCTTCCCAAAGCCAAGCAGAAGGACCTCTGAACTGCTGTCCCCACCCAACCCCCACCACCCATCTCTCCCTATCTCCTGGGGCTTGGGAAGGTAGGTGGGGGAGGGCTACCTTGAATTCAAGGAATTTTTCTTTTTCTCACCAAATGTGCTAAAAATCTATCTAGGCAGCAGAAATTTGAGAGAAGAAAATTAGATTTAGATAAAGGACGGGAACTATCTAAGGAAAAGGGGGGACGATGAAGCATTTAAAACACTGCTGTGAAACAAACAGATTTCTCCTTAGCTTATAGCCTACAGAAAAAGCCAGGACACTACAATTAGACCCCAACTAACTAAGAATCCCTCAACATCTACTGTGTCAGGTCTTGGGTGGGCTCTGGGCACCCAAAGGTGGCCGTGATGCACACTCTGCCTTGGAGGGGCTCACTGCTGAGTGGCTGCATCAGAAAAATAGAATTAGAGAGGAAGGTGGTTCGGTCTATAACAGAGACACACGCAGAGCATGGGTTCTGCTGGAGAAGCTGCAAAAGGCATCGTTCTTCTCTAGTGCAATCTGGGTACCAGGAACATGGCCCCTTCTATTCCCACTGGAGCCTTCACGCTTTTCCCTCTATCTGGAATACCACAGTCCCTGCTCTTCTCATGAAAGCCTGTTTCTATTACTGGAGGTTCAGCTTAGACAATACGTCCCTAGAGAACACTCCCCTGACCGCACGCTAAGGCAGTGGTTCTCAGTGTGGCCCCTGAACCAGCAGCAACAGCATCACTTAGGAACTTGAAAATACAAGTTCTCAGGGCAGCCCCAAACCACGTACTCAGAAGCCCTAGGGCTGG